TCAACAAATAAGGCCTTGACAGGAATTGATGTTAAGTATGCTTTTGTTCACTGCAGCACTATTCAAAATAGCAACAGAATGGATACAGCCTGAATGCCCATCAACAGAAGAATAATTAAACAAACTTTGGTACATACTTACAATGGAATACTAAGCAACTCTGAAGAATAAAGATGAATACGCAAAATACCTCACAAGATGGATGAACCTGGAGGAGATTATGCTGAGTGAAATTAGTCAACCACATAAGAAAACATAATGTATGATACCACTGTTTTAAAAAGTTAAGAAAAGGTTTTCTTGATAAAAGAAGCATTCTATGATGGTTACCGGGGTGGGATGGAAGCAAAAATTATTCACGGTCTATAGGGCATGTACACATGTTAACATGGGTGATGGGGAAGGCAATACACAACAAGAGGGAAGATGGCTGAGGAAAGATGAAGGCTAGTTCTCTATATGTTTTTGTTTTGTTTTACATTGCAAATATCTTCTATCTTTATTTTCTTTATCTTTCCCTCTTAGTGAAACGAAATATATATTTTCTTATAAACAAAGTAAATAATAAATTATAAATAGCACCTACTGGCGTTGTCATAATAATATGGGCATGCTGAATCTCAAACAGATCATCCATGACAGTATCCCCAGTGAGTTCTTTACAATTCAAGCCTATTGGTCCAAATTTTTCTTTCCAGTCATCAAAACGCTGACTACACAGGGCTTTTATTGGTGCCACTACAACAATATAAAATGTTTATATAGTATGTTAATGTAATTTAAAAATTATTATTACAACTCCTGCTTAATAAAGTTAGGTTAAAATATCAAAATTGCCCAATATTGATAAATTTTAAAATAGTATACTTTCTAAAGGCATTATCACAGAAGAACTAAAACTGTAAGTATTTAGAAGGCACTGCCTCTGGGAAGTATCACTAGGAACTAAAGAGATAGGAGGGGACACTACTGTTTTCATTACATACCTTCTTATGATAGTCTTTTTCTTTTTTTTTTAACCAAGTGCATGTATTACTTTGGTGAAAATTATTTTTTCAAAAAATGCTAAAAAGGGAATGCAATAGTTTCCAATGTAAATGTCAAGGATTATAAAATGTTTGATTTTTTAAATTATGTTTTAAAAATAAGCATGTAGAAGTTAAATTTCAATTCAAATATTACGTTTTACTTATAAGTAAAGGAAAATGTGTTTTGAAATTAAAGTAATGGACAAAACCAACTGTGATAGGACTTTACTAAAAAGTAGCAAAAGACAAATAATAATTCCTATGAATTGCCGTTGAGTTTGTTTAATAGTTTTGCATCACTGTTTCTTTCATTATTATAATCAATTATCACTTTTATATAACATATAAATACTTACTGTAAACAACTTTAATACTCAACCAAGGCAATGGTACTTCCATCAGCAATCTTGTTATAGCTAGTTCAAACACTACAGTTTTCCCAGAACCAGTTGGTGCACTGATCACAAAATTTCTATCTGTGTAAAGAAGCTAAAAAATAAAATGTAGCAAATCATATAATATGTAGAATTTCCACACACATTCTCAATTTGGTAGAAAATATGTCTTAGGAAAGTCTTTAAGAAATAATAGCTAAACAATGGGTAACCTTAAAAATTACTAGAATTATAACTTTCTCATCTCTCCCTTGAGAGATACATATAAAACTATTCATAATTTGTTACCATGTTATATTTGTCAAAGTGATATGCTAGACACAGCTTTCAGAGAAATTGTTATAAACCTAATAAATACAAATCAACATACCTGTGAAATCACATGTATTCAATGAGTATTTTTTGAGCACCTACAATGTACCTGGTGTGGCACTGTAGGATCAGCATTGGACTGAACATAAGGTTGGCAGTTAAAAACTCACCAGCTGCCTCTCAGAAACCCTACACAGCATCACTATGAGTTGGAACAAACTTGATGACACTTAACAACAACGTACCAATCACTAAGTATGACATGAGAGACATAAAGTTGAATGAGCTCTAGGTTCTAATATTAGGATAAAATCTAATGAGAAGAAGCACATTAGAAAATAGTTAAAATAAAATACTCACATCATCAAAGGCCTTGGACTGTATATAGTTGAAATATGGAAATTCTTTGAAAATACTTCTAAATTTTGCCGCTTAGTATAACATTAAGGATTCAAATATATCTCTCAACACTGAACAAAGGCAGAGTAGTCCTTGGACATCTTAATATATACAAACAAACATACATACACATTTCCTTGATGCCATTCAATCTCATGACTTTAGAGCTCCAGATTTTTGGTACATAGTAAGTACTCGCTTAATATAGCTTTGCATTTATTAAGTCAAGCAGATAATATTTATAAATCTTTATTTTAATTTCAGTTGTGAAGAGTATCAGAACATTTGCCAAAACAGAAAAACAATTTAAAGTTTATCAATCCATCATTTTTTGAAAGAATCTCATTTTTCCCTTAAAACATGTTTCTTGTTATAAAATATTTGTAACAAACCCACAAGTGGCCATCATGCTGGTTTTCCTCTCATGAAGTCGCTCCACATCAATTTATATTCATGAAAATGAATCTTTGTTTCAGAGTAGACGCAGAATCAGTATTTCTAGCTCAAGAGAAAACTTGACTGCTAACATCATTTATTATCACTATCAACACTTATAATAAATTGTTTCCTTTTGTTCAACAAACTCTCAGCAGTGGCACGGCAATTATATGTAATAATGGTGAGAACTGTCTATAGAACTAAAAATGACAAGATTATTGTGGCAAGATGGATCTGACAAAAGTTCTGTTGTCCTGAGGATTCAAATACAGAAAAACACTAAAGAAATAAACAGAAAATAAGTTTGTGTCCAAACAGTACAGAAACTGAAATTATCATAAATAGTGTTCACTCTTGCACCTAAATAAACACTTAGAAAGAGTAAAGTATAGCAGTTTGGTGAATCTGGCAACATATTAACTTTATAGACAATAAAGCAATGGACAAAAGTGTACACAATAGTCTTAAATAAGGAAAAGCTTATAGTAAGGGATAAGGAAAATGTCAACACCATATAGATCATGAAACTACCAGTTGCTCCACAAGAGAAAGATGAAACTTTCTGCTCCCATTAAGATTTATAGCCTCAGAAATCCTACTGAGGGTCACTATGAGTCAGAATCAACTCCATACCACCACCACAGGTAATGAAACAATCTGTAACTGCTCACTGATAACTTATCTCTTATGTTCCCACCATTACTGAGATCACCAGAGAGAAAGAATTGCAATAGCAATAAGATACACGCTGAAAAGAACATTAAAGGCTGTACACAGTCAGCCTTTAGTGTTCTTTTTCGGCATAGAATCTTAATCCTACTGTAATCCTTTCTTTCTGGTGATCTAAGAGAGAAGGAATTGCAGCAGAATTAAGTAACCATGCATGAAGTTCCCCAAATATCTGTCAGTTTGTTGTATTGTGGTACCTTGTGTGTTGCTATAATGCTGGAAGCTATGCCACTGATGTTTCAAATATCAGCAGAGTGATCAATGGTGGACAGGTTTCAGAAGAGCTTCAAGAATAAGAAGAGATTAGTTTGGTGGTTTAAAGTCATCAGCCAATCCTCAGAAACCTTATACAGGGTCTCTATGAGTCAGAACCTACTCAACAGCTCTTGACAACAGGAAGAAATAATAGGTGGCCCACTTCTGAGGGATCTGCCACTGAAAATCATATAGATAGCAGTGAAACACTATCAGATACAGTGCTGGACGACGAGACACCCAGGTTGAGGGCACTCAAAATATGACTGAAGAAGAGCTGCCTTCTCAAAGCAGACTCGATCTTAATGATCTGGGATAAAGGAAAACTTTTGGGACCTTCATTTGCTGATAGGGCAAAGTGAGAAGAAACAACTGCAAACATCCATTAATAATCAGAAAGAAGAATGTACAAAGTATGAATCTATATTGGAAGTCATAAAAAATGAAATGGGAACACAAAGATTGATATCCTAGGCACTGCTGTTATTTTTGTTGTTAAATGCTGTCAAGCCAGTTCCAACGCACAGTGATAATTTAGCAGTTAGCAGTCCAGTGCTTATCCTATAGGACCACATCAGAACTCCATTAGTAAGCTTAAATGAGTTGATACTGGCCGTTCTGAATCAAACAACCATATGGTTTACTAAACTAGGTATGACAAATTCAAGAGGAATGATGTTGCATTCATTGTCAAAAGAATATTTCAAGATCTACTTGAAGTACAGTGCTGTCTTGTTATAAGCTATCTATATACCTGCAAGGAAGACCAGTTAATTCAACTATTATTCAAATTTATATACTACCCACTAAAGGCACTTATGAAGAAACAAGAATTCCACCAATTTCTTCAGTTTGAAATTGATCAAATATGCAATCTAGATACATTGATAATTGTTGTTGTTAAGTGCTGTCAAGTCAGTTCTGACCCATAGCGACCCTGTATAGGGTTTCTGAGGAGCAGCTGGTGAATTTGAACCACTAACCTTATGGTTTAAATCAGCTTTGCAGTCCAGCACATTAATCCACAGTACCACATTAGGACTTCACATTGATAATGGTGCTGAAATGTGAAAACTGGAAACAAAGAGGAGGAAATAGTAGTTGGAAAATATGACCCTGGTGATAGAAATGACACTAACACTGAGATTGCATGATAGAATTTTGTAAGACCAGGAACATCTTCATTGCAAACACCTTTTATCAATAACTTAAATGGCAACTATGTGTGGACCTCACCAGATGGAATACCCAGGAATCAAATTGACTACATCTGTAGGAAGAAACAACGGAGAAGCAAAATATCATCAGTCAAAATAAGATCAGGGCCAAATGAGGAACAGACCATCAATTGCTCCTATGCAAGTTCAGGCTAAAGTTGAAGAAAATTAAAACAAGGTCCTAAGAACCAAAATATGATCTTAAGTATATCCCACTTGAATTTAGAGACCATCTTGAGAAAAGATTTGACACAAAAGACACTAATGAATGAAAACCAGAATAGTTTTGGGGATGACAACAAGAACACCATAGAGGAAGAAAGCAAAAGGTCATTAGAACACACAGAAAAGAAAAGATGTGGATGTCAGTTAGAGAGCTGCAAATCAAAACAACAATGAAATAATCATCTCACACCAGCAGTAACAGTGAAGTACAAAAAAGCAGAGATGTTGAGAGAGTAGGGTCCTCCTACATGGTTGGTGCAACTGTAAAATAGTTCAGCCATTCTGGAAAATAGTCTGGTGCTTCCTCAGAAAGTTGGAAATAGAAATACTTTGTTGTTGTTGTTGTTAGGTGCCATCAAGTTGGTACTGACTCATAGCAAACTTACGTACAGCAGAACGAAACACTGCCCAATCTTGGGCTAACCTCACTACTGTTGCCACACTTGACCCCACTGATGCTGCCATTTGGCCAATACATCTCGTTGGGGATCTTCCTCTTTTTCTCTGACCCTCTACTCTACCAAACAAGATATCCTTCTCCAGCAACGAGTCCCTCCTGACAATATGTCCAAAGTATGAGAGATGAAGTTTGGCCATCCTGGCCTCCAAGGAGC